TATATGACGGCGGTCTGTAAATAATCGAGTCTGGACCAGACACTCCAGTGATTAATATCATGAGCATTGATCCACGCAATTGGGATTGATGACATGCATCAAACCAAGTCAGCGAGCCTGACCACCCGATCCCGTTAGTCGCCTTTTATGACAAGCATAGTCACCTTTTACGGCAAGTATGGGTTGCTGAAGACCTATTCTATCCCGAAATCTTCGCGGGTCTCACCTGTTTGGAGGTGGAGGCGTCATGGTATGGGGTGGCATTTGTGGCCAGATTACAACACGGCTGGTTATCATCCAAGGAAACCTGAATGCTCAGCAATACAGGGATGAAGTGTTGAGACCTGTTGTGGTGCCCTTTATTCAACATCAGCCAAGAGGATTAATTTTGCAACAAGACAACGCAAGGCCTCACACCGCCCGGATTGTTCAAGACGACCTGAACAACGTTAATGTAAACGTATTGCCCTGGCCTCCTTGTTCTCCAGACATGAACCCCATTGAACATCTCTGGGATCATCTTGATCGTCAGCTGAGACAACATGTACCGCCTCCAACGAACCGACAGGAACTTGAACAGACTCTATTGAACTTATGGAACCGGATTCCTGTTGACTTTATCCGCCGACTGACGACGTCAATGAGGAGGCATGTGTTGGCGTGCATGGATGCCCAGGGTGGTCACACTCGCTATTGATAACGTGTTACCTGACTACTGTGTCATTAATGGACTCTTCATGCACTTTTTCAATGAACTCTGATTTGTGTAATTTTTAATTTGGACCCCTTGACTCTTTCTTTGTGTATTGCGGAGAATGCAATATCAGCATTACAATGCATTTTCATTCTAATTCATGGAAAATGATTTCTGTTTATGAATGAATCATCATAAATCTCACATATGCCTTTGTTTTTGGTGTTTGGTCAAGTGAAGTCGGTGAAAACTTTCTTTTGCCCGGTAGTTTATAACAGTTTCATTATTAAAGAAATGGGTTTTTTTTCAGTAAACATGGTAAATAATAAAAAAACCTTTGGTTTAAAGAATACACATGACACAAACATAATTCTATATTTCTTTAATACTCTGTATTGTCTGTTAATTCTGAAAATAATTAACTGTGATAGTGAGTTTCTACCTAAAAATGATAATATGAAATTAATTTTGAGATGATTTCATCCTATCCAAAATACCAAATATATTTTAAGATGAATAAATGTAAATCATTATTGAAAAAAATAAATATTGTTTTTGAAAAAAAAACACCTAATAAGGTTGATTGGTGCCCACCATCTTTATCTCCATCATTTTGTCTGCTCCCTATAAGAAATCAAAATAGCTAAGAAAAAATATAAATACATAGATCTAGGTACTTAAACTAAATACATTCAAGTTTAAATGTAGTAATGTTTTTTGTTTTGTTTTTAAAAAATGAGTTTCTTAATTGGCCTGAAATAGTATGTTTAAATAATTGAAGTCTTCAAGTTAAAAAAAACAAACAAACAAACAAATAATTACAGGCCAAAATGAATGAATTATATTGATCTGGATAAACTCCAACTGTTGAAAGGGGAAACAACTGCGGTGGTTGAAAAACATCTTGGTCGTGAGATGTTCGGTCCGGCAAAGGTTGATCGTTTAATGCATTAAAATTGAGTATGTCTTTTGATTCAAATTATTTAAGGTGTTTATTTTCTTAAAATATGAAATATAAACCTTGAATATTTTAATATAACTATAAAATATATTTTTGACGGTGGGTTACACAAATGATCAATCGGCTCTAGATCAACACTTCGAAACAATGTGACATTTCTTATGTGGTTGATGGTTATTTTTAAAAAATACTGGTACCAAAAACAATATGGTATGTTTTGCTATTTTTATCAGTTTTTTTACAAGAATTAATTAAGTTGTTTCATTAATCTTGAAAAAGCCCAGTGAAGAATCTACCGGAGTGGCTCACCTGGTCCTGTAATATCGAAGCGGTATCTCGCTTCCGTTACTGTCTTCTCATTCTGCAACTGAATCTCGTACACTTGGAAGCCGAAATTCTCTAATACATCTCCACATATCACATCCCTTCCTCCCCAACTAATCTTCTCTTGGTCACCATCTTTTGGAGATGGAAACATCGTCACTATGGTAATGTTTTGACAGATGGGGATTTCCTGTACTAAGACGACCTCGGGTATCCCCGATCCGAAAAAAGTGCCATCAATTATTTTTAGACAGCCAATCAAAACGTGATGACACAGCTCTCCACTCTCAGCCAGCCAATCAGATTGCGTAAATAAAAATAAACCCCTACGAATAAACCACTGCTGGCGATTGGAGATCAAGCCCTGTTATGGGAGAACTACAAATAAACCACTCAATAAAATAAGTTAAGATACATTATTGTTCAAGCAAAGGAAAAAACCCAGTATGATCATGACGGTAATACATAACATTAAAAGTGCACAGAAATTGTAATATTTGTGGATGAAAGCTGGAGACATGTACTTTCCTATATTTATTTGTGAACCATTTAACTAGGGGTAATGATTACTGGTACCAATGGAACCTGTCTTGACTATGAGTACCATAGTTTTGGGGGCTTAAAGCCAGTATCAAAGCATATACTGATCTGTAGATCTGACAGAAGTAACAAATCACATACATGTAATATGATGTCATCATTTATTCAGCCAGTGGATAAAATGATGCATTTCTTCACACTCTATGCTTTAACAGTACTGCTTCCATACCTGGATCAACACACAATCAGCAATTTTGCTTTGAATTAAGGAGAATTTATACTGAACTTGTTGACCACTTTTGCATTGTAAATTACATACTAACAAGTTTCCAAACAGATAATTTTTGTTTTTGCTTTTATTCAGGACATCATGTTCATCAGCTTTGTATGTTTTTAGATTGTTCAATTTGTAGTAAAAAAAACCAAGATAGAATTTTCTCAGATGTCTGATTGATGAAAACCCTTCGGAGTTATGCAGATTGATCAGTAGATACATGTTAAATTACAATTATGTTTTAATTTGCTTGAATGTTATGGTTATTTGTGACTTGCATGTGTGTTCCTTAGAATGCATTATTTGAATTTTGATAATAAATAATATGTATCATCATAACTCGGTGACACCCCCCACTCCCCACCCCCAATATCATGTTTATGACAATAGACAGATGGGAACATTATTAAATTGTAACAACTGCTTAGCTTTTTACCAAATATGTCTTTGATAAACTACAGCCCTTGAAAGTGTGTGTTTCACACATAGTTTCCTATGGTTTTCTTAACAAAATCAGTGGACACTTTCATTACAAACTGTTTGGGTGTCTGGATCTCAAACATGGCATTGTTATCTAGTAGAATTTCATGGCATAGTGATTTTCCATATCAACTAGAAAATCTGCCAATGGTGTAATTTATAATAAAGTTTTCTGTAACCTCATGCTTAAGTGTCTTCAGTTGATTACTTGCCACACTATGACTACTGTTACATTTTTATTTTTTTCATCCAGTGAAAAAGAGAATACACATGGCTGTGTATGCTACTGTACCAAATTAATTCAAATTAATGAACATATTCTTTATTATTATGCCATTCACATCGACATTTTTACAAGCACACATATAGTTAAAAAACACTAGATTGAAATCAATCAATTATTTTTCCAAAATTATTAGATCTATCTATGATTAATTTCATTGTGTAATAAGAAAACAAATGCCAGTAAATGGCTTTTCATGTGAATAAAATCCAGAGGCCAAATTTCCGAACCATTAACAGACCTTATCATTAAACACCATTATTACGGATCAAAAGTGTTTGTTTTTCTAGTTATTATACTGGGCGCTAACTCCGCTAAACCCACCACTTAACAAAGGGAGAAAACGGGGCATAATTGGTGACATTTGCATAATCAGATTTTCTAAAATAAAGATGATAAAGAAACGGTATTTCATTGACGTGGTTGTTTAATTCCATGTATTATGTTTACGATTTCATGATAACAGTGAGCTGACATGAAGTATTAACTCACATAACTCTGCTGAAAATGGGGTATGTGTCATTGTTTACATTTCACCGATGTGACAACCGCTTTCGAGTCTCAAAACAGCCTAAATAATGTTGTCCTTCACTGAAGGTAACAATGGACTTTATTCTTGTGACAAATACATTGCAAGAGCATTCCTGAAAATGCTAAGAAATCTTTTTAACCACCCGTTCTAGAGTTTTTCTATAGTAAATACATGGCGTGTCCTCATTGTTTGTTCGTCTAGTGGAGGCGGCCATTGTGCAGTCATTGCCTGGCTCAGTGTAGCGCCAGCGCAGCCTACCCAGGGAACCAGGCTGTAAAGTGGTAAACGTCTGAGACCTCCATCACTTCAGACTTTCCTCCCACATTAAACTGATAAAAGAGGTGTGAAACCCAACTCACTTACTCTAAGAAGCTGCTCAAATACATAGTCGATGAGCAAGTATCGGTACATTCCAATCATGTCATGAACAGTCCATACCCTTTCGCTACCATTAGCTTCAGGAGGCGACTTCAACATTTCCATCTTTCCTATCAGTTAGTTCCTACAAACTTTCTCTTGCTGAGGAGTTTGATTGGCAGCTATTGTAGCATCGCATGCTTCACATCAGACTAGCAACGAAGCGATGTTGGCAAATGGATCCTTGGTATTTATCAAGATAGATTTAAGATATAATGCATTTCGTAAAGGTTGAAGATGGCCCTGGGATCTTTGATATTTTTTTCCCTGACATATATAGTACGTTTGGAGAAGTAGTGAGTGAACAGTCTTAACAGTGTAAGTTAACTAGGTCGGTTTGTACATTTAAAAATCTATACAAATACTCCCATGAGCAAGGATAAGCTGAATTGCTTAGGTAAAGTAATGTTTCTAAACTGTCCAAAATAAGTTTTACATCTTTCGTTTGCAACATTATTCATTCAAACCAAATTATGGAGAGGAAGTGTCTCAAACCTTAAGTTCTGTCTCTCCTCTGAATTGAAGCAGGTAGCCCCCAAGAATATCAAGGACATCTCTACACTGTTGGCTCACATGAATCCTAAATGCTGAAAATGAATAGAAATGAAAATAACATATATGCAATTAGGAGTATATACATATTGCATTGAAAAATATAATTAAATTTTGTCTATTATTTTACTTAGATTAAGTGACTCAAAGTACCAAACTTCTCTGTTGTTGAAAATTTCATGGATTTACCATCACTGTTAAAAAGTGATATTAGCCAGTAGTATAGGTAATGGGGGTTCTGCCGCAACTCCACTGGAGCCGGATTCATATACCTATACTGCTACTATAGGGGGAATTTTTTATGCCAAAATGATTATGCGATTTAACGATAGTCATAAGATTAAGTTAAATTGGCTCTAGCTCACCAATACCTGGGGCCAATCATTGCTTCTATTAGTATAAAAATGATGATGTGATTCAACGAAAGTCGTTTTAAAAGAAATATCAATATTAATTAATAATGGATAAAATTTACTATAGCCCACGAGGATATTGGAAAGGTGTAGGAGCAATAAAAAAATTAGCCACCACGGCTAAGGTATCTAAAGATGTGGCCAAGGATTGGTCAAGAAGGCGTCTTTTTCTTGTTCGGCACCCCTGATTTCGGCACCCCTACAATATTTTTTTCCACTAGAGCAATAGGATGTGTCCAAAGCATACATCTGTGCCCAACGAATTTCCAATTGAACATTTGTGCCCAACTACAGTATAGAACAAAAATGGAAGAAGCGAAATATACAACTATGGAGAGCATGGGAATCCGCGCAGAAATGTCTATATTCCAACATATACTAGTGGAGAATGCATACGAAGACAACTTGCTACCAGATATATCCAAGGTAGACTATTTGGAAGGAAATCTGGGTAGAACACATCTAGAATCTTTGGATGGCCTGCCAACATTTGTAGACGATATGTATGCATTTGGCTATCTAGAAGAAAACGATATAGTATCTCTACGGGGATCTGTGTCTTGTACAACTGGAGAAAGTGGATCTGCAAAACGTATACTACAAGAAATACAAATAGCAACGCAGAAAGTATACGGATGTCGCGTGCATGCTACTATTGCAAATACAATTTCCTATATAGGAGGCTCTGGGAGCAAAATACGAGACACAATACGACGAATACAAAAACAAACAGAATACAAAGCAAAGAAAAAATGGATGGAAAGATTTTCCAACGAAGAACCCAAAGGTATATTTGTGTGCAAAATAGATGTCTCCGAGTTGTCCCTAGAGGAAACACAAAAAGGGTTGGATGCACTACACACGCAACTATATTCTTTTGGATACGAGATATATTCCATAGACTATACTAGAGACTTTTCTGGTGTACTAGATAGGAAAAAACTAGTGGAATACCTACAAAGGGAGGGATACTTTCTACAAGGTATACAATACGATTGTGGAGAAAGAGAAGGAACAATTCTAGACAATACAGCGTCTGTAGGAGAACATGTATGTACTTGGGTATACAGTAGGAACAATAGAACATTTTCCGCGAAGATATACAACAAAGTTGTTTCCAATTTCGAAGCGGGGGACGTTCGGAATCCAATAGGAGCACATCTTTGCGAATATGTAGATTGTCCAAATAGACACCTACGAAAAACATTTTTGCATCCAGACGTACAGAAAAGAGGTTGTTCTCGAATAGAAGTATCTGTGTATGCACCAGACGAAGACATAGGACCTTGGGTTGTAGCAAAATTCTAGAGTTGGTATCCCCCAAAGAAGAACCACTATTTCTCGAACAACCACCAGAAAACCAATGGAGAAACTTGGCAAAGAAATTGGATAGATGTTGTATAGCCGCCTCTAGACCTCTTGGGAAGATATTTGTAGCATGGTATGCACACACAAAAACTAGGAGAATAGCAGGGATACATATACATCCGAAAAAAGAGACAGTAGAAGATACGAAGAAATGGGAAAGAGCAGTAGAATTTGCAATTGGAGACTTTGGGTTTCGCGCTTGTCCAATATTTCGTATAGACATCCTATCTTCCACAAACGAAGGTGTAGAGTTTGGACCACTTCGATGCTATACAAAAGCAAAAGATTCCAAAACTATTCTTGCGCCATCCAAACAACCAACAAAAATATCCAAGGCAGATACAAACCCTTCCATGCTTCTCCCAAGCACAGAACACATAGAATGGATATTCCGGAAAAACAAATCCCAGAGAATAGGAAAAGAAGTTTCCCAATTCCAAGCAATAGAAATGGAAACCAAAAGACAAATATCCACTCTTTCCAGATCCACTAGAGAACAAAGATTGCAAGACATAGAAGACTGGTTGGATAGCAATCTATGGAAAGAAAATATTGCAAAAATACACGAACAAAGAATACAAAAAGAAAAGGAGGAAAGGAAAAAGAGAGAACAAGAAATAGAAGAAATACAAAAAACATACAAGAATATAGAAGAATATAGAACTGCATCTACAGATACCAAAAATATTGTAGAACAAAATTTGGGAAGCTGGTGTAGAAAGGTGTCCGAATTTTCGGGAAAAACCATTTCTATACTTGGATGGAAAGGAGAACGTGTTGTAGCTAGATGTATCGAAAATATCGAAAATGTAGATGTATATTGTTTTCCCGCTATTTGGCAAACAAAAAGACTGTGAAAGATACTAGAATTGCTAGAAACAGCTGCACAACACACAAAACCGGATAGATATGGAAAGTCTATGTATTGGATCCCAATGGTAGAAGGAGACGAATTGTCTTTGCACGTGGAAGAAACAAAAATGTTCTACAACAACGAGAACAAAAAAATAGAATACAATCCACTAGTTGTAGAAAAAACACCAAACCAAGAACTACTAGCAGCAAATACAAAGATAGACAAATTCGAAGAAGAAGTGGAATATTCTTCCATACAATATATAGAAAAAGCGCCAGCATGGAAAGAATGTACAAAAGCATTGGATTTGGAAGGAGAATATACATGTAGAAAATTTGCCAAAGGTATATTTCGAGGATTGGAAAGGACTATTCTGTTTCTACAAACAACAGATGGATCGGAAATTCCAGTATATGGAACATTTTTGCAAGAAGAAGTCGCAAAATTGGATCCCTTGGATACATATACAGCACCAATACTATGCAAAATAGGAAGAGAAAAGAGAACAATACATAGGAAGAAAGATAGATTGGTATCTATATCTGCAAAACACTAGTACGCAAACATACCACAAGGCAAAACAAGTCTAGAGTGCCCTATTCTATTTGTAGCAATATACAACTTTCCTCCATATTTTTTCCTTCGCCAAACTTTCTCTTCCTCTCCTTCTGCAAGGTATCCATCTATTTCCCATCCCCCTTCTCCACAAAGATACTTTCTGTTTTTCTCTATGTATTCTTTTGCAGTATATACATGTTTGGCATTTCCAAAATCGTATTTCTTCCAATCTTCTACACAAAATCTTCTGGGCATACCATTTTCTTGGACATATTGCATCGTTGTTTCTATACTATACTATATATAGCATATATCCAAATGGAAAATCTATAGCATTCGAAAAGCATCCTGTTTTGTGGGAGGGTCCTGCGGTGGAACAATGGGAGCTTCCTTTTTTCTCCGTAGCTTCCATAGTACAACAATTGGAAAGAGAATATATCCCGCTATATTTGTGTATTTGGCAAACCATTGCGCTTTCTGTACATTCTTTTCCAAGGACTCTACTTCTTCTTCTATATCCTCCACATCCTTCCCCAAGGTCTCCAATTTTCTTTCTCCTTCGCAATATTGTTTCGTATATCCAACAATACTCTATATATATCTCCCAATATATCTTCGGGAGACACACGCTCTATAGGGTTGTATGGTTCCACCTGTGTCGTGCTTTCTACAGGGTTCTCCGAGTTTTTCCATATTCTATACAACCTCCCAGCTCCAATACCATATTTTCTTTTCGCATCCTCCACGGAGATGCTCCCACGAAGGGCATGAATTTCTTCCAACTCTTCTTCGGATAGAATTTTCTTTCGCGGCATCGTATACATATTCTACGATATCTTGTCTCCAATAGGAATCCTATACATAGAAATTCCACGCACCAAGAATCCTGTACCTAGGAAAAGCAAGCAAATGCTTGTAGCAAAATATAGCAAAAATATAGCAAAATATAGCAAAATATAGCAAAATATAAGATTTCCAGTCTTCTATGTCTTGCAATCTTTGTTCTCTAGTGGATCTGGAAAGAGTGGATATTTGTCTTTTGGTTTCCATTTCTATTGCTTGGAATTGGGAAACTTCTTTTCCTATTCTCTGGGATTTGTTTTTCCGGAATATCCATTCTATGTGTTCTGTGCTTGGGAGAAGCATGGAAGGGTTTGTATCTGCCTTGGATATTTTTGTTGGTTGTTTGGATGGCGCAAGAATAGTTTTGGAATCTTTTGCTTTTGTATAGCATCGAAGTGGTCCAAACTCTACACCTTCGTTTGTGGAAGATAGGATGTCTATACGAAATATTGGACAAGCGCGAAACCCAAAGTCTCCAATTGCAAATTCTACTGCTCTTTCCCATTTCTTCGTATCTTCTACTGTCTCTTTTTTCGGATGTATATGTATCCCTGCTATTCTCCTAGTTTTTGTGTGTGCATACCATGCTACAAATATCTTCCCAAGAGGTCTAGAGGCGGCTATACAACATCTATCCAATTTCTTTGCCAAGTTTCTCCATTGGTTTTCTGGTGGTTGTTCGAGAAATAGTGGTTCTTCTTTGGGGGATACCAACTCTGGAATTTCGTCTACAACCCAAGGTCCTATGTCTTCGTCTGGTGCATACGCAGATACTTTTATTCGAGAACAACCTCTTTTCTGTACGTCTGGATGCAAAAATGTTTTTCGTAGGTGTCTATTTGGACAATCTACATATTCGCAAAGATGTGCTCCTATTGGATTCCGAACGTCCCCCGCTTCGAAATTGGAAACAACTTTGTTGTATATCTTCGCGGAAAATGTTCTATTGTTCCTACTGTATACCCAAGTACATACATGTTCTCCTACAGACGCTGTA